CCCCACACACACACACACACACACACACACACACACACCCTATCCATCCTAGTTACAAGGATTTACTAGACGAAAAAGATAAAAGCTCATCTCTAGCAAACATTCTTCCTTGGAATGTCGCCTCATCAGCAATGTAATTTCATAATGTTAAAAATAGCAAAGTACCAACGATTGATCCTTTAAATATTCAGTTTCAGATATTGAAGATAACCTGCTGCTTTCTTAATAGTAAGTTTTACCATATATCTAAAAAAAGACTTAAATAATAATAGTATTGAATAGTATGACTTTCAATATGAGGGCGTGAACAGCTGAAACACAGAACTCTGCAATGCTTTTACGTATCCCGAGTTGAAACGGTTCACATGGAACACAAACATTTGGCGATAAACGAACGCACTTGGACCCTACCTAAGCCGACAGAGCAATAAATGAACAGTTTTGGACATAAATAACAATATAAGAAGACTATTCAGTCAAGTTATCTTGACCCTTAGCTTGACCCTTCGATGAACACGTGTTTAGGTGGTCGGGTGGTGCAGTAGATGAGGCATTCGCCTTTCATCAAGGTGACCGGTGTTCGATTCTCCATCGGACGTGAAAAGATAAAGGTCGACTGCCCGACCACGTTTGTTTTCTCCGGGTGCTCTGGTTTCTCCCACATTAAGACCTCCGCGCAATAACATCCGGGCAAACAAAAAGCGACCAATATAAGTTGTTATAACTTGTTTCAATAGATACATATGCACGTGCCGAATTTTCTAGAGGTCAGCCTCGGTTTCGATCTGAGTCTGCTTTTCAGGTTCAGCTTGTTGAAACGGTTGAACCAGTTATGCAAAAGGAGCCCAGTTTTCCCGAATATTTCATATAATCTTTAAATGTTAATTAATATTTTGGTTTCGTTTACATTTCATGCGAGATTGCTGGAATTTCTCCCAAACTTTTCAGTTCAGATAAACTGTCATTTACTGAAAGTTAGACTCACGCTTCGATAATTGGTCAAAACTGAAATTAAAAAAATAAATAAATAAATAAATATTTTAAGTAATTTTGATTATCGTCGTGAGCCATATCATAACTGATTTTGATGAAAATTTGAACCGAAAACTATTTAAAATACGGCGGTATGAATTATGAATTAAAGCAAGACTGATTTTCATCGCACACTTTGCGAATTGCAGTGACATGCCGAACCAGGGTAGTATATGCTGTAAGTAAAATAGTCATGTACATAATTAAGTCATATTTAATCGTCGACATAAGTAAATCAGAAAATGTTAATTTGTTTGGAGTAAAAACTGCATAATATTATATGAATTGTGTCAAAAATGTATAGAAATTGATTTTTCGAAATTAATATGTACTGTATATAAATCTATAAAGTATATTTTTTTTACGGTCTAAGTAATCGGCAACAACTAGTACTCCATGTCGTTTCTGCACTTTAGTATAATCTGGACAAACCGTCAGAATCACGGCCAATATACCATATACCTCCGGGTAGGTCGTTGTGCTGTGCCGAGCTGATACAGTACTTAGCCAAAGGGGACACGTGTGTCGAGTCCTGTAACCTGGCCTTAGTTCAAAACTGACCACTTCAGTTGGACATGTCCGGAAGGGGTGTATGTTTACGCGGCTTGGACATCGCTGAACGGATCATTTACATATCAAATGACAGAAATAGTCGTGGGTTATCAATTTATGCCTGAAGTTATTGGATCCAATATTTCGATAGGCAGGTACAAGTACTTCCTTTTTGAGTGTTGAGAAAGAAATGTTTCTGGATAAAATTGTGTTGTTTTTGGTAATTTTGGTGTTTTTGGTGTACGTTAGTGTTTAAACATCCGGATATTTGAGTGTTGTTGGGGTTGTTACATTGGTGATGTTGGTTGTAGTGGTGTTGGTGGTGTTTGTTTTGTTTGGGGTGGGGTATCTGAACCCCAAAACGTCTAATATCACTCTTTTCGTTTCCGGATAAGTCACGAATACCGACTTTAACAAATACTCGGGTCCCTCAGATTTCGATCCCCCTCACCTACATTGTACCAAATGATTTGAACTCACAATCCCCCCCCCCCCTCCCACCTACCCATTTTGACCTCTTCCCTTCTCTACTAATATAAATCTATTGCGACCCCTTCCCTTAAATGAACCAATGAACATTTCCCGAAATACACTAACTCGCCTGGCACAGAGGTTGAAATAAAATCAGGGTATCCGTCTTTTACCCCTTTTTTAATTAAAATGACTCATTGTGACAATACATTGTGTATATGAATCATTTACACCCCATTTCTTCACCCAATTCTGCCTAAGTATGTGAACTAAGAAATATATTTATTTTTAGTGTGCAACATTTATGAAACAGAGTTTACCAACTTAAGGATGTACACCTCTGAGAAGTCAAAAATTCCCGTATTAAACTTATTTTCTTATATTGATTTTTGGAAAAAGGAGTTAATGGCATAGTAGAAAATGCAAAAAAAAACTATATGTCCGTGTGTTCGATTTTGTGTTATGATCGGTCAAAGATACCAATTTAACAAAATCTGTGATTTTAGGTGATTTTTGGGTTTTGACTATTTGCAGAACAAATTCATACAATATCTTGATGAAAATATTATTTTCTTTGGAATTATGGAAGTAAAATCTCTAAATCACATTCTTTTAACTCAGAAAGCCGATTTTAGTTACCCCTACCCCCTATATTTTAATAAAAAAATACTATTTTTTTACCATTTAAAATTCTTGTAAAAAAAGTTCTACAAACAACAGGCATCTAGTTTTTTGACATATTTTTCAGGTGCGTGTTTGCTAATAAACTTGATCATAATTTGTTAAATATTACAAAAACCGATTACACCAGTTCAAAACGAGACTTGAACGTGATTGAAACCTCAGAAGAGTACATCCTTAAGTCAATTGCTAACTATTGTTGTCCCGGATGGAAGCGCAGAGAGGGTCTTAATATGGGAGGAAACCGGAGAACCAGAAGAAAACCGCGGTTGTGGGGCAGGTGATCAAATAACCATTCAACATTAAGCATGAACAAGTTGCAATCCCTCACCTTTCTATTTATAGGAACAGTGCGAGTCCTGCTCTATAAAACGAACCAATTATAGGCCCATACCATTACCAGTTATACTTATCCATGAATATATTCCGGAATTTCCCGAAACCACCCGAAGTTGACAGCCATGGGGAACAAGCTGTCGACACACGGGGGCTCATTCTATGACATAACATACATGCAAAACTACCTATCAAGGAAGTGCCTAAAATGTGAAAATTGTATCATAAACGCAAGGTGGCAAACGAGCACGGATGTCCCCTATCTGACGACAAAATTACAACGTCCAATCGTATATACATATTCATTCTTGTCGTAATTTTAATATGTTACAATAGTGAAGAAATGTCTGGCAGAGGACCGTGGACGGTATACAACAGAGCTTTATGGTGAGTAAAGGTTTGAGACATTAAATTCTCTAAGACTGGAAACTCTCGTTCTTTGGGGATAAAAAATAATATAAAAGTAAGACATTTTATGGAAATAATGACTATAAAGAAATGCTAACAATATGTGTGAGCAATATTTATTGGAATATTAAAGTTGACAAGCTAAACGTCGACAAAATGTAAGGTCCGTGGCTATCAATGGCCCAGACAACTAAAAGCGATATGTATTATAGATATTATAACATAACATAACAAAATGACATGTTCTTCAAAAATTTGAAGTGGATTTTTTTTTATTATCAAGCGGAATTCTTTTATTTTTGAAGACAATCCTTTACAGGTTTTATGTTGTTTTACATTTTACAGTATTCAGAATGTTGCTGTTTTCAATTTAAATGTTTCCTGCGATTCGGATTTTCCGATTTTAAGTAACGCCGTTCAATTTTTAACACACACTATTACTTAGCATACAATGTCACAATAGTAGGACATGTAATGCCATAAAGGTTATATATAAAGCTGGAAAATAATCTACTTCATTCAATGTAAAAATGCATCTCGGGATCAACCTTTTAGATAAAAATATTATTCATCGTTTGGCCTTTCATAGCAACATACTTTCAGTTATTTTGGTCAGATACAAAATAATGTATATCTAAGGTTGAATATTGCAAAAGACCGGCTTCGCGGAATGAAGGTTCGGGTGGGGATAGGGTTGGGTGGGGGGAAGGGGGTCCTCATTGACAAAACAAAATATGAGTGTTTCGTTGTAAATTGGAAAAATCAAGTTATCTAATTTTGTGTTGAAAAAATGTACATTGGGATAGATTGAACTGCACCAAATGTAAGATTGTGCACTCTTCAAAAACCCCAACCACACTAAATAAATTCTTACTAGATAAATAAATATTTGGGAAAAAAATACCTACATAAATAAATACTTAAATGAATAAATACCTAGATAAATAAATATCTAGATAAATAAATATCTAGATAAATAAATACTCAGATTAATAAATACCTAAATAAATAAACACTTAGATAAATAAATACTTAGATAAATAAATACTCAGATTAATAAATACCTAGATAAATAAACACTTAGATAAATAAATACTTAGATAAATAAATACTTAGATAAATAAATACTTAGATAAATAAATCTTCCATTAATGTAAAGCGTACCACTGCATCAGTTTTAATGGCAACATTGTCATTTAGATGTTAGAAAACATCAATTTACTCAAAGAATAATTGATATCTGGAAATGTCTCTCACATAAGATGTTATTTCATCTCGTAACGTTTTTGACAATGAGAAAAACTGGGACGAATTCTGGAAAAATCTTGAGTCATTCAATTGTACAATCTCATACTCCAATATTTTAGAAAGCAACGAACCAAGAATCAAGCAGACACAGGCTTCCTGCAACTCTAATCAAGCATGACTTAAGCAATCAGACCCCTGCTGTTGATTATTTAATATTTCCTATAAAAGTCCCACAAGAAACGGGTTTCTTTTACGAAATCATTTACAAAAGCTGTAATAATGACCCCCCCCCCCCCCCCCCCCCCTCCTTAAAAAAACACAACAACACAGCTGAATTTCAACTATTTCACGCGGTTCAGGGATCCTTAATTGTTTAACTCTTTAGTTCAAAGTTCAAAGTTCAAGTTCAAATATTTTATTTCGGGTCAAACACATAGTATTCATAAAGTCACAATACATATATAATGTGTCTAGCCAAATTGACTTATTAGACACGTTAAAAGAACAATCACACTATTTACTTTTAAAACTATCTGCAAACATGTAATGTTATTAACCAGTTTTTGTAAAAAACAATTATGCTTGATACAATTTCATTTGCAGCAGGACTATAATTTCCATGCATATATAATACCATGTACCCCAACAGGGTAAGAGATATACAATAGTGGTTGGGCCTATCCCCAGCGACACTTTGTGTATCCCCCACCCCATACCTGCACATCTAATTGAAATACGTAATTTAACATGGGAGAAACATAGTTCTTCTCCTTTACATAAGAGAAAGTTGGGTAGTTAGTGTCTTTTGGAGAACACATATCTGAACTGTTCAAAGTTCATATCATTGAAAAATTCATATACATTGTTTGCTTTTGTTAAAATTACAGATTTAATATCATCATAAACTATACATTCCATTAAAAAATGATACTCGTTTTCTACATCATTGTTGTACAATTTGCATCACCTATTATTGACAGGAATCACAGGTCGGGCATGCCTACCTTTTTCAATTTCATGGGGCAAAGAGCCACATCTAAAGTTAAATAAAAAAAAATCTTTTACACCTGAGATATACAATTATACTTGTAAGTTCTATATGTACGCAGTTTATTACCATATACATTGTTTGTGTCATCCCACAAAGACAACTGCCATTTATCATCATCTTCAGAACTCAGGACATTCTTAATATCCTTCATACATTTGTTAGTAGATGTTTTGCGGTTAAAACTTCACTTAAATTTTTCTCCGCTATCAGACTAACAACCCGAGAGTCCCAGGATTTTCTAATAGAACATGACCATTCATGAATTGTCTGCAGTAGTCTGCTATCATCGCAATTCTTTATACGTAAATATAGTCTAAAAACTTCAGTTAATTGGTTGACTTCACATGAATTCGAACCCATATCTCCTCGAAGGGCTACATTACTTGCTTTTCTAGCAGCTCCCAAAAAATACCTGCATGCTTTATTTTAAACCATAGCTAGCTACTTCTCTATATTTATTCAGACCCCAGATTCCAGTACCATAAAATAGCACTGGTTCTACTTGGGATACATACAGCTTACAGTAAACTTCATAACACATTTCTCCAGCATAAGAACATACAGTGCTCTACTTGCAGATGTACACAGTTCTTGTACAGTAAAATGTAAATTGAAGTGTTCATGAAACTATAAACCAAGGTATTTGTAATTCTGGATTCTTTCTATAGGTATATCCCTTACATGTAAAATTAAAATTTGTTATAGGTACAGATGGATTGCGAAAATGCACAACTTTAGTTTTTTCTTGATTTATGCCTAATTTCCACTTTTTACACCAACTACCAAGCTTGTCTAACATATGTTGCATTGACTCCTCATCGACTCCTCATCTGGTGCGATAAGTGCTATATCATCTGCGTACAGAAGTATGGATACCTGGGCATCATCGACCTTGACACCTTTACCTAGTGATTTAATATCAGAGGCCATATCATTTATATATATAATGAAAAAATTGTTGGGGAGATTTTACATCCCTGTTAGGAGGCACGGTGTTCTAGTGGTAGGACGCCGGGCTCGTGACCGAAGGGTCGCGGGTTCGAGTCACGGCACGGCACTGTGTTGTGTCTTTGAGCAAGATACTTTACTCCGCTTGTAGGATTGTATATTGACAGTGCCATCGAGTTGTAAATATACATTTTGTGTTTGTTTAATGGGCGGATTGGTCGAGTGGTTAACACCCCGGCCTCCCAAGCAGGCGGCCGGAGTTCGATCACCAAAATCATTGTACACAGGGAATTTTCAGAGAAAGTGTTTATCTCCTGCCACACAACTCCAACAACCCAGGTGGAGTATACATTTGTCTGGGATGGATGTTGTGGTATCTGCATGTGCTGTAGCAATCATGTGAGGTGGCACTTTATATGATACCGTTGGAAGGACGGTCCCACTACAAACATAACACAATACATGTCACATCCAGCACACAAGCAGGCATACACACAAAGGGATATATTAGCCAGGTGGCATAGGACTTGTAGTTAGCGCCTGATAAGGCAGCTCCTGCGACTTCCTCAATATTGTATTGATTAATGTATATGCTAATTGTATTGACTGTATAAAATTGTATATTTATGTACTGTAAAGCGCTTTAGAGTGGCTTATGTTAGCTAGATAGGGCGCTATATCAAATGTTGTATATTAATACTAGAAACGCTTTTCATTTTTTTGTTGTAAATATGTGGTACATGTACATAATACCGTCACAAATAGCATCTAATCAGATCAATATCATGATGTAAAATATATACGTATATGTACGATCGTGTCAAAAAAATTGAATGAAACAATTCGATTCACTTGTATAAATGATCGTTTGCTTCTGTGAATTTAAATTTTAAGGATATTTCTGTTTTTGTCATTATGGCTTATTTTCTTTAATCAGTTCGTGCGTTTATTTTGTATTTTTGTGGGATAGAACGATACTGACCTGATTTCTATACCTCGCGGCCGATTTTCTTATCTCTTCACCTGTATATGATAGATTATAAATCTTCACCGGACTGACCGTGGGACATACGTGACACGCAAAGCAGGAAATCTACAACGTGTTACCTTGGTCGTCAAATTATAGATTTTTCACACCTGCAGATGCACGTATCCTTCTGTTTAAATCTGTATGGCCCCTCTGTAGAACAAGAGGCCCAAGGGCCTTAGCGGTCACCTGAGTTATACCAGGTACTGGTAGCTTTATTTTATTGTTTAGATGTGATGTGGAAATCAGCATGTAAACTAAGTGAAATACAATACTTGTCATGTCATCAAAGGATAAGAATTTGAAAATATTGGTAAATGTTCCCTTTGTGGCCCCGCCCTAGCCCCTGGGGTTTGGGCAGGAATCCCAATTTTACAAAGTAATACTCTCATTCACCAAAGATGATTCTGACTAAGTTTGAGTAATTTTCTGCTGAAAATGGATAAAATATATACCCAGAAGTGTTATTTCCCTATATAAACTATAGGAAACTTTACCCCCTCCCCAAGGGTGAACGGATAGCTCGGGGGTTCTGAAATTTACGATTTAAATAAGGCCACTTATAATTTTCTTTCCATGCAGAGAAAATGAATGTAGTACCTCTGAGTCTGGAGGAGAAAAATTTGGAAATATTGGTTAATTTTCCCTTTGGGGCCCCGCCCTGGCCCCTGGGGTTCGGGTAGGAATCCCGATTTTACAATTTTGTAGCCTCATCTACCAAGGATGATTCTGACTAAGTTCAGGTGACCTAAAAAGAGCAGAGCTGACAGGTGAAATCATCAGTCCAGGTCGATGGAGGGGCTGTGGTGGCCAAGTTGTTCAGGCGTCAGACATTCTGCTACCACAAGCCCTCTACCACTGGGTCGCGGGTTCAATGCCTACGTGGGACAGTAGCCAGGTACTGGCTGATGGTCGGTGATTTTTCTCCGGGAACTTCGGCTTACCTCCACCACAAAAATCTGGCACGTCCTTAAATGTGTAACACAACACGAGTGACAAGGGTTGATGGTTAAAAGTTTATTAATCGCAAGCGTTGCGATCGGTCTCTGTCGTTGGTATTTAACGTCCCTAGCACTTCTATTCTCTTTTCTCCCCGTCCCTAGCTTGTCTCCAGCTCGTCTCTATCTTCATCTAATCTCCTTTCTAGGTTATCTTTATACCCGATTATAATCTATTGGTGGGTGCATAGGTGGTCAGTTGAGACTATCAGCTAATATATATGTAATCCTGGATTCACGACCATGAGGTCCATAAGCCCCCCACACAATCAATTATCACGTGTAATATGGTCAGTTGTGACTTTAAGATCGTATCTATGTAAACCTGGATCCACTGATATACGTAGACTGGATTCACCGATATACGTAGACTGGATTCACCGATATACGTAGACTGGATTCACCGATATACGTAGACTGGATTCACACGTAGACTGGATTCACCCGTAGACTGGATTCACCGATATACGTAGACTGGATTCACCGATATAGACTGGATTCACCGATATACGTAGACTGGATTCACCGATATACGTAGACTGGATTCACCGATATACGTAACCAATTACACACGTCGTAACACTGAATGTGTTACAAATGACCATAGCTGTTAATATAGGACTTAAAACACAAACAAACCAAAAACAGGTCGTTGGATATGGAGCATTCCTTGTTGTTGCATTATACATACTTATTGTTATTAGATTGATAATGAAACAGGAGTGTACACCCTTTACAGTCATCTGAACCAGCTCAGCGAATAAAAGAAACACGTGGCAGATACAGGCCCAATGAGGCTCTTGGTAAGAGCATATGTAATTCAATTAAGGGAAAAATAAGTTCTCCTGAAGACACTCCACTTGACTCCAGGGGTTACCCACACTCACGCTCTGTGTACCCCTGGAATGAGTCATAGCAAAATCGAAGGCTCAGTGTGCGCCAACCTTGTGGATGAGACGAGAAGATCAGTTTGATCCTTTGATGTACATCACAATAAATATCGCTGCTCAATACGTATATTTCTGGAGTATTCCGATCTTACAGAAAAATGGCAATTAAGTACATCCTATAACCGAATCAGTGTATGTATCGTGTATGTTTGTTCAATGAACAGCCATCTTCTATGGAGGGTGAGCGATATGTGCCTTTACCATAATAACGTCATAATAATGATGACGTCAACCATCGGACAATGGCATTAATAGCCGATATCGAATGACATATGAATTTGGTAATTTGAAATTGTGGCTTTGCTATATGAATTTCGTAGTTTTATATTGTGACATTGTCACTTGATGGTCATTATTTACATAAATGTTTATATGTGTACCCGTCTTAACAATCGTTTAATTAATTATTTTTTTCAGAACACATTGAAAAGATTTCCACAGATGCTTTTCGACCATTGGCTACGACTGAACGACGCAGACATTTCCAAGGCATACAAACAGAACAAAGGCGACACTATACGCCGAGGAAGAATTATACGTTTAATGAATGTGACGCTAGCAATGACGTAGGAAGGAAACCAAGGCTGGAAATAAACAGCTAAGGAACGTAACTATAATCAGGGGAGGTAACGCCAACCAACAGTTAAAACAGTTAAAACAGTTGCGTTTCGCTTCATCTAAGGGGCGTAACTCAAAACACCACTTGTCTATTTGACGAAACTTTATTCAACATCTATGGGACGTAACTCCAGCTAGTTGCCACAGATCTGTTCATATGACTGAACGTTTCATCAAGAGACATAACTGTCGATGTCATCCTAGTCTCACTCCCATTATTGTGAGACTCTACGTCATAAAAATGTTTCAAAGAAGAGGCTTACGATATATGCCACTTATCATCGTTGCTATCACTATGTATCTTGCGTTCCACGTCCAACAGGACATTCGGTTTATGATGAATAAACGGGATTTAAGGAACGATAACTCTTCACTTCTTTCGGTACGTACAACGACCGAGTTGATGCCGTTTTTAAACAATACGGCTCTTGAGGAAATTTTTATTCCTAACATAAGTTTTCCGTTAGATATTGACTTGGAAAATGCAGTCAAAGATAAAATAGAAAACGGCATCAAAATTCCACATCGACCTATAAACGTTATCAGACGCAGATACATTTATCGTCCCCCGGCCTGCCAGTTCAGTAACACTACAGAAGACATACCACTATTAATTCTGGTGAAATCAAGTATTAGAAATGTTTTTTTACGTGATGCCATTAGAGAAACTTGGGGAAAGGATCTCGGTGAAAGTATAAAGATTTTCTTCTTGCTTGGTACTTCCACTTCGATGAGAGATACCATTGTGATGGAATCTGACGCCTACAACGACATCATCATGGGAAATTTCGTGGATGCCTATTCCAATAACACTCTGAAATCGATCATGGGATTTAATTGGGCCGTGAATGAGTGCTCGACGGCTGATATGATTCTTTTCATAGACGACGATCATCTACCGAACATGCACAATATCTTGTCTTATCTGCATTCATTCGACTCTGAACAATTAGACGACATGTACTGTGGATACAGACTCAACAAGGGGCAAGTGTATCGGGGGAGAAATAGATGGGGGATACTTAGGTTTACGTACCCGTATCAATATTGGCCGCCCTATCTAAGGGGCGGGGCTTACCTCATATCACAAAAGATTGCAAAGAAATTTTCAATAGCGTTTCCTTACGTAAAACTTATTCACGTTGATGACAGTTACCTCGGAATTGTGTCACTAAAACTAAATATTCTTCCCCAGCATGACGTCAGGTTTATGATGGACAAACAGGAGATTGGTACACAAAAACGTTTTTTCGTTTTCAATGACTATAAAAAACCAAAAGAGTTTAAAAAAGACTGGAAAATAGTTACGAATCAGATATAAACATTATTATAATTATTTATCGTGTTTATAACTCTCAACTCACAAGGACAGGGAACAATTTTGCAAGTCACAGGTTCAAAAAATTGTAATTTATTTTATAGATCGTAAAAATAGTTGAACCTTCGTGTCGCGATGAAACATTCAATAGTCATGTGAATATCTTTGCCAAACGTGCATACTGATGTAAGCGACATATCGTAATGATGTACATGTACTCGACTCTTCGTTATGATGTAAGCGACAGTTTGTAATGATGTACATGTACTCGACTCTTCGTTATGATGTAAGCGACAGTTCGTAATGATGTACGTGTACTCGACTCTTCGTTATGATGTAAGCGACAGTTCGTAATGATGTACGTGTACTCGACTCTTCGTTATGATGTAAGCGACAGTTCGTAAT